TTTCCCTTGTGATAACAGACCCCAAACCAAAAAGTCATAACAAACAACTTCATAATTACAAGTATGTTAAGCCCTAAGAAGGAAAAACGCCATGGAATTGTGAGTCTGTCATTGCAGGACTTCACTGTTTGGGGGCGGCAGGAATCAGAGAATGCTCCCCCAGGAGTGACTCTTAGGCTGAGGCTGGCAGGATTAGTAGGGGTTATTAAGGAGAAATCTCTCTGTGCCTCCATTTCCTCATCTGTAATATGAGGGAATTGGACCAAATTCTCTTCCAGCTCTCAAATGAATTATTCACTAAATTTAGAGATAGGGGATTTAAGTTTGACTGGAAAACAGATGTGACCATTATTCAGGGAGTTGCTGGTTTTTACATTCATGCAGTTGTTTATTATATAGTTCAGTAAGAAAAGGTACTTAAAACTGGTATGTGGGCACCCAATCCTTTTCCAATATGCTTGAGCCAGAGCCTCCGCCTTGGGCTGAGCTCTCAGGCGATTTTCATGGCATCTTTTAATAAAACTTAGGCATAAACTATACAATGGCTCCAGATTCCTCTTTCGATATACACAGAGGGACTAAGGGAGTTATTTCCTTTTCTATATACAATCATCTCTCTAATGGAAAATATGTTTCAAATTAGGCATCAATTCTGTGAATGAGAGCAGTGTGAGTGTTCTATGTTAACATTTAAAGACTATTAAAAATGAGAAATGTACGCTTTATGTATTTATGCTAAACTCTGGATTCATTCTCTTTGGAAATATTAGAATGTCAAGCCCCAGCTGAGTAAAACCATATTATTTTAACTTGCAGTTCATTTTAAGGAAAAAAGTAATGGGAACAGTTGCTTTAGACGCTGGTCTTGGGATGTGAGCACGGTGGTTCTGAAACTACTCTGGTATGGAAATTAAGAGCTCCTTGAACTAAGCTGGAACATTCTGCTTCCAAAGTGAGCCATGATTTTCTGAGACAAGCATTGGCTCTGATTTTAAAATTTATTCCATATATATTTCTTGATATTTGATACTTTCTACAGCTTGCCTTTAAAAAAAAAAAAAAGGAATGATTGAGGAACGAGCATGTGGAAAACTGAGAAATGGAAATTCATGCTTGCTTTAACTCCTTGCCCTGCTCCACTCCCAACCCTAGGACACCCATGCTTGTGACTTCATGGCAGACATATAACAGAGTCATATTTTCTGCTAAAAAATTATGTCTAGTGCATTTGACATAATTTAATATACAAATATTTCATGGCACTGCACACATATGCACAGAACACACTAAAATCCTGTCAAGACTTCCTGGTGTTGCCCCAAATGAAATAGGAGAGAACCAGCATTCTAGTACATAGAAGCCTTTTTCATTCTGTCTTCACAAACAAAAGTTAATCTAGGTATCTACTTTTTTGGGAGATAGCTGTTCTTATAATCAATTTTACAGGTAGTGGCATTAAGACACAAAAGATAACTGTCTTGCCTGTGCATATACACAAATATTCAGAGTAAGAATTAGAATTTAGGAAATGCTGAGACCACAGTTTTTCCCCAAGCAACCTTCAGTGTTAATTGCCTGTCATTCAAAGTTGGCCAGGAGTCAACTGGGTTCCTGTTATGAGAGATTGGTCATATGTTTGTGATGGCAAAAGGGAATAACAGACTTCTCAAAACCTGGCCTGTCTAATCCCTGTCCCCTCCAACCCCCCTGGAGGAAGCTGAGGAGTGGTCCAGGCAAAGGGAAAAGCCCGCTGGAGCTGGAGTAGAGTCCCCACCAGAGGCAACAGGGAATGTTAAGGGTTAAGGAGGGACTACAGCCAAAGCCCTTCCTGATTACGGAAGTCCTAAATGCCAGGGACAGAGTCTGGAAGGTTATAAAATGGGAGGGGGGAAAATATGATACCAAGTCAGGATATCAAACCGAGAGTTGTGCCTTGAATGATGAAAATAGAACAAATAAATTGGGAATATATAGGCCGGAGGTTGTTGGCTTAGCCTCCAAGCTTTTGCCTAGGACAACATTGATATTGGTGATATTCTTGTCAAGGTCAGTGCATCAGGGTGACAGCATCAGAAGATTAAGATATTCAGAGAACAACTGAATATAATCTCTACAGGCTCTTCCAAAAGAAGCTTTTTTTCTAGGTTTAGAAACACTGTTGAATCGATATTTGGAATACTAACAGTGACACCACTATATAAGTTCCCTGGCATTTGACATCTGCTAACCAGATCTCTTTATTAAACGATGCTGAAGCACACCTACTGATGACAACCAAGGAGGGCCTACAATGTCCCCAAACATCATAATGTCCAAAATCATTTCATCAAGGAGAAATTAAGTTATGTTTAGTGCGGTATTCATATATTTCACGATATGATGGTTCTTTGATAACATTTATGGTATAGATAATCTCTTAACAGATTATTTGTTTAACCAAAACATTCTATCATATACTAAATTGAGTTTATCAGGCTTTGGTTAAAACCATTTTAGTTTTACAAACTACTGAATGATTGTTTAATTCACCAACAGGTAATTATTGGATACTGAATATAGTCCAGGTGCTGGATAGGGACTGAAATTTAAAGACAAATAGATGCAGTTTCTAGACTCACGTAATTTGCCCTTTAGTGGCAGAAAGAAGTGAGCCACCAATATAACACAGACTGAAAGGGCCTGTATCAGAGGTGGACACAGGACACTTTAGATGTCTGTCGAAGGGTGGGGGGTGTTGAGTTTATCCACTGTGGGGAGCTAGTCAAGGGAAGGATGAACTGAGCCGTTTGCCCTGAAATGATTAAGCAAAAATGCAGGCACTTGAGGAAGGATATTTTGAGCAGAAAGAACAGTATGTGTACACTCCAGTAAACATGGCACATCAGTAACTCTTGGTCTGTGGAGTGTGCAGGGTGCAGGGAAGAAGAGATGAGGCTAGGAGGTAAGCTAGGACAAATTAAAGGGATCTTACATTCCAAGATGATGTGGGGTTTTTTGGTGTATGCATGAAAAAGGAAAAAATGTTGCTCACCATGTTGATTTCATTGAAAATTCACATTTTATTAGTCAGGAGATATATATATTTTATTATTACTATTATCTGGTTCTTCCCACCCTAGGTTATGATTGGCAATTTCAAGATTTCATCTTAGAAGGAAAGCATAATAGGGGACATGAAGAGAGAGCACGGCCTTTGGAATCAGACGAAGCCGAGTTTGAATTTCATTTCCTTTACCTCTTGGCTCTGTAACCTTGAGAAAACCACTAAGTTGTTCAAGGTTGCCGTACAGAGCTGTTACAAGTTGGAAATAAAATAGAACACAGAAAGATTTTACCCCAGGGTTTGCAACGTGTATTAATTGTTAATGATGCATTTTTCACAGGTGTGTCCTTTATCTTCAAATACTACACTTGTTATTAGAAATAATGGGGTGAATAATAAATGATTTGCAGGAGAGAAGTTATAAACTTGGCCCTAGGTATATGATTTCAGATAATTATGGACTAAGGACCAGAGACAAATAAACTTCCCTCCCCTTAGGGACTATACATATCCACACCTCCACCTCCAGCACCCCCACTGTTCAATGCCTCGTGCTGGTCTGAACATCTAAAATCTCTCCCACGTGGTGCCTCCTTGTTGGCTGCCCTCTCGGAATAGCACTGTATTTGCTAGGCTTGTTCAAGCCCCATCAAAACTAATGCCCCATTACTTTTTCTTGGTAAACTCAATGTTAAAGAGACTTGAGAATGTGCAATACTTTCTGGCTAGATATCTGCATTTTGACAGGAGGAATATATCAGTTAGATCTGGTTATGTTTCAAGCAATGAAAGCCAACCCTGGCAGATTTTTTTTTTTTTTTTTGGTAAGAGCTTTATTGGAATATAATTCATATAGCAATTAATTTACCCATGTAAATTGCTTGATTTAACAGTTTTTAGCATATTCACAGATTTGTGCAACCACCACCACAATCAATTCTAGAATCTGGCTTACTTTTTCAAAAAGAAGACTGCATTAGAAGGATATTGGGAATGCCAAGAAATGGTGGAACTACAGAACTAGCCAAGATCCAAGACAGCTCTATTGGGTGAGGAGATGGGCTCATAGCTGGAAGAGTCGGGTTGGGCACCACTGATGCAATGACCATCTCAAATGGGCTTCTTGGGTTCCTGCTCACTTTCCTAAAGTCCGGTGTCCCGGGAGAAGCTGTCTGGGTGGCTTGGCTACCCATCTGACTGTACTCAGCCTTCAAGAGTAGGAAGTGGACAAGTAGACTTCCCTTCCCACCTACACTACACACAACGTGACAGGCAACTGTTCCACAAAAGACGAGGGGACTATCAGGGCAAGAGACTTGGTACTGACACCCAAATGACAAACGCCGACTTACTTAGCTTGTTGGATATTAATCGAACACGAAAAACATAAAGTAGTGGTGAAATTTCAAGGTAAGAGGGATATTTGGCATGTTCTTTTTCGGGTGGAGAGGATTTTAGAGACATCTCATTATACTTGGAACATTGATTACTTGGAGGTCAAGTAAGACCAACTCTCTTGAGGATCTGGTTCTCCCACAGAATCACAAATGGGCATCACAGCCTTCGGCCAGTGTGAAATCCCCTTCTCTCTTTTACTTTCCTGGTGGGCCCTGCTGAAATGGTTACCTCTGTGGCAAAACCCCAGGAAAACTGCGACATGGTTTGTAAATCTATTTACCATTAGAGGAGAAGAGAGGAGGCAGTAATCCAAAAGATGCCTTCTTGTCACCAGGGATTTTCAACCCTCTTTCACGGTTCCTGCAAAATAAATTTTCAATTGGGTAGAAGTGAGCATGAAATACTTCTACAGCCCCTTTGATTCTGTGATTTCTCAACTTTTCAGTGAATTGTTACATGTAGAGAGAAAACTCCACAAGGAGTCACTAGATATCTATGAGAACTTTGCAGAACTTCAAAAAAAAAAAAAAAAAAAACCCTTAGTTTAAAGTGCACTAGCACTATAACATGAAATAAATTTTTCCATGATGGTCAAATGAACCTCTAAAGAGCCAAACCTCAATTTCTATAATTAGAATGTAGGAAATATTTGGGGTGAAACTGGTTTTATTTTCCTCCAAATGAGTGGCCAAGAGGCTCCTGGACTTTTGACCCTTTCTTTCCACACCCTTCTTCTGGTATCTGTGAGGATATCCCACATTCCCTTAGAAATGTGGTCACAAATAAACCTAGAAGCCCAAAGCAAAGTTCCAACCAGAGCCTCAAGATGAATCAGCAGTTGTTTATTTTCATCCTATGAATTTATTTATTCTCAGGTTGTTCCAAAAGAGAGTTGAGATAGCTTAATAAAACTTCAGGCGTAATAGTAAGAGGATGCAAATGGTAAGAACGAGGCAAACAGAAACATGTCTTTATGTTAAAACTAATTACGTATGTATTTTAATGCATAAATATTAGTTACCTTCCACTGCTTCAAGCAGTCCCACTAGAGGCCTGAGTGAAACCAGCAAGAATAATCTTTCGCTACTCAAGAACATTGATTCTGAGAGACCATGGGTTTCATGCCTGTCTTGGTGTAGCCTGTGAGGTGGCGGAAGTGTGACCTGCCCAAAGTAGATGGTCTGCTGATATTTTCACGCTGCCAACTGCAGAACTTCATCAAGGTGAGCTCTTTTTCTGGCCACATGCTGAGTCCTGAGCCCTTTATCAGACTCAGCCATCCTCTGTCCCACCCTATTGGGGCCCTCTTTCCTAACAGACTAGCTGAACATCGTCAAAACTATACCTGATAATATCTTCTTCGGTTCTCCTAATGTTCTGTCTTCCCTCCCTACGGATAGGTCCACTTCAACACTTCAGAACTCAGCAAGGCGAGGATTGTGCTTTAAGGAGGAAAGCTGGCATTATACTGGTCTTCCAGCTGCTAGTCCAATGTTCATCTACACAGTGCCTACTTCAGTGGAGGGACAGTAGCTGTCATCGTGGAACACTAAAAGCCTTATTTTTGGGCAAACAGAACTATATGGTGCTCCTCATGATCATTCATACACACATCAATTATTAAGAACCTTTAACCTGTAAGATGCTATGTGGGGCACTGGAGGCGTAAAGATTAACAGAAATTTGAATGCTGGCTTTGCAGGGCTCACAGATTAACGGTGGAAGCAGAGAAATAAACATGGCTTACAGCAATGGGATGAGCACAACAACTGAGGTACACATGAGAGCACAGAGGAAAATCCTTAAGCCTACCTAAGATGATTGAGGAAGAGTTTTCAGAGGAGATACATGATGTCTGTGTTTTGAAACAAGAGTCAGAGTTTGGCTAAGTGGAGGGGCTTTCTACACAGAGGGAAGAGTTGAGGGTAAGGCAGAAAGTCATTGAAGCCAATCACTTATTTGGCAAACTAAATATCTGGGTGGTGGTGTAACAGTTAAGAGCTGGAGCTGAGCCTCCTGAGGGAAGTAAATAAATTTGGCACTAATGTTTATTAACTGTGGATGATGGGAACTGTGGATGACGAGATTGTTTAATCTCCGTGCCTCAGTTTGTCCATCTGTAAAATGGGAAGAACTTACTTACTGCATAGGTTCGCCGGCACGTCCAGGACATCATAAAGACTCCATTTGTGTTAGCTGTCGTGGTCTCATTACGGCTCAGCACAGGAGGGGCAAGGGCCAGGCTGGGACTTGAGACTCCAGCTGTCAGCAGGGACCAGGCAATAAAAGCTCTGAAAGCCTGAAAAGCTTGGCCATGCACCCTGACGGGGTAGCCCTATGCATCTTCAAGTAGAGAGTTATGTGGTCAACCATTTCCCCATTTATAAGAAAGTGGCTTACGGAAAGTCAGACCAGAATCCAGACCATGCGTGGACTCTGAGAATGCATAGGACGTGCTTACCTGGACAACCTTTAGCTAGATTTAATCTTTTCAATGCTGTAAACAGATGTCCTCAGTTGAAGCATGTCTTATCTGCTCTACCAATCAGATTGGAGAGAAAGACAGGGTCCAAGAACTCTCGTCCAGATGAGTGGGTATGCGAGATGGGGGATGTGACCCCGGTGGCAGATCACCCTTTAACTGCTGAGCTAATAAAATGTATGCTTTGAAGGTGTTTTCAGGTGCCTGCAAAATGCACACCTGAGAAGTTGTCAGAGCCCGGAGTACCTTTCCCTGGCTTCTAATAAAACATTCTCCCATTAATATCTTATTAATAATTCCTTAACCACTACTAGCTAATTATTAATGGATTTATTAAAGATGTTAAAAGAAAAAGAACTGGCAATCTATAATTTTGGGAGTTTAAATTTTCAGTTATGCATGTGGTACATTAAATATTGTGTGTAATATAAAATATTTTATAAAAGTGGGGTCACATTGTACATTCTATATTTAACATCCTTTCTTTTCTCTTAACACTGCACCGTGAGCACTTTCTCACGTCACTGAATAGTCTTCTCTATCTTCGGTTTTAACGGCAACATAGTTTTTTATAGTCCAGCTGTGATGTAATTTCTTTAACTCAGGCATCTGTGTGGATTCTAAAGTTTTACTGTTACAAAATAATATAAAAACAAACAGTCTCCTAGCTATATCTCTGCCCAGGTCTGTGATTTATTTTCTTCAGGATTACTCACAGGGAGCAGTTCTGAAGCCTTAAAAGGGCCAGGTTTCATGGCGACCATCGGCCAGGACGGGTCTCGCTGAGTCTTCCTGAGCCCTGAGGGGCCTCGAGCGCACTTCTGCAGGCCTTCGCCCCAGCTGCGTGACAGCAGCCGGCTCGCTCTCGCCAGGGCGGGAAGAGAGCAGTTTCCCTCACAGATCAACTTGTTCTGTGTGAATGAGATGCCAGCCCACTCCCTGCTGTTTGGGGCCTGGGTGCAGGGACCACAGGAAGGCGGTTTCGAAGGATTCCACTTCGAGCACTATCTGGTTGGCACTGGAGCCAGGCCTCATCACTCCTGAATTTCCACTTTAAACCAACAACTGCTTTTCCACTTGCAATTCTGTAGCCAGAGACTGAGAACAAAAGGAAAGCTTTAATCCTTAATGAAGGTTTATGATGCTAAAATGTTTTTGAGTATTCCTTAATATCATTATGCTTTCAACGGAAACTCATTTTGCTTCCCTTCAGTAGAAAGTAAAGAATTAGAGAAATATTTCCTTTCCAAACTAAATGCCAATACTTGGATATCTGAGGGGAAAAAACAAGTGATTAGGGTGATCCAGAGCTTTTTTCTACTAAAATCTTTATACTTTCCGTTGAGGAAAACATATTTAATTATAATCTACATGTAAATAGGTTATAATACATTATTATAAATATGTATATGTATTTATTCATAAAACACTCGAAACTGTTGACAATAAAAAAACATGGTGGGTTTTTTGTTGTTATATAAAACAATGCTTGTCACTCTCAAAGAAAGAATAAGGAACAAGATAAAGTTACCTGCAATTCGTCTGCCCAGAGATAACCATTGTTAACATTTTCCTTGTTAAATATATTCAAATAAAATAAAAATATAGTCAAATTAATCACTATTTAATATCTACTTTTCACTTCACAATAAATCAAGGTATCTTTCAAGGAATTATGTATTCTCTTATTTCATTTTTAAAAGATAGACAATATCTCATTGTACTGATTTCTTTATTTGATCCGCTGTGTTACATCTAGCTGCATTTTTTTAAAAAAACCTATTATAAACATTGCTGCTAGGAGCAACTTGTAGCTGTACTTTGTCTCAATCTCTAATTATTTCTTGAAAAAACTGTCTCCAGGAAGATTATACCAATTTACTCACTCACCAGCCATTATGAACACACCCTTGTCAGCACTGGCTATGATTAAAAACGAATAAACAAAGTCCTTACTAAATAGCATACCTTTGCTATTTTAATTTGCATTTCTTTGATTCTTAATGAGCACACACAGTTTTATTCTTTGGGGTCATTATTTTCAATCACTCTCAATTAAAGGAATAGTTGTTTATCAATTTACTTCCCTGAATGCCATTTCCCTGAACATTCTGATAAGCCACAGCTAGAGAGAACACTGCACGTTCAAACATTAATTATAGGTGGGAGAAGGAGAGAAGGTAATCATATAATTATTAATATACATAATGTAATATTTAATAATTATATACTGTTAATGGCTTATCTCTCTTAAAACGGAAGCATCCGAACGTTAAAATGCTTCCAAGGTTATCGTCAGGAAATTGGGCTTGGAGCTGAATCCTGATGCTTCCAGTCTGTTGGGCTGCACCTCCTTGCAGGAGAGCGATGGGATTCACTGACACGCTCCGCCCGGGAACGATGGGGATAACGTTTGAAACCCAGGGGTAGGTTTTCTAGCTCCGGGAAGCAGTCGATTGCGCAGAGAACAATAGTTCGGAAACTCAGCCCTCGGAGGACCGCCTGAACAGGCGCCGCATCAAGTTCAGGGCCGCTCCGCGTCTCAGCTGTTCATTAACGCCACAGAGCAGGAGAGAGGGAGGTTGCCATGGCGACACTGCCGCACGTGCCGCGCCGAGGAGGGCGGGGCGGCGTGGCGGTCCGCAGTGTTACAGGAGGGCGTGGCGGCCGCCTCGCCTTGGCCCTGGAGGGGCCCCCAGCGCGGGCGTGTGGCCGCGCTCAGGCTGCTGCTGGGAGGCGGAGGCTACCTGGCGGCGCGGGCCGGGCGCATGCGGCCCCGCGGGAGGACGACGAGCCGGCGGCACAGAGCAGCCCTCTCCCGGCAACCGCGATGCTGGTAGCCATTTTAGCCCGGCTCCCATCCCTGGGCCCCTTCCAGGGCGGCCCCGACGGGCCCGGATCAGCCCGTGACCCGCGGGGGCTCCGGGCGCGCTCGCAGCCCCCCCTCAGCCCCGCGCGCCCTCGGCGTCTCCATCCCCGCGCAGCCTCGCGCCGGGCGGGGGTGCCTCTCTGGTCGTTTGTTAGGTGTCGGGAGGGGATCTGGAAATTGAATTCCCAGCAGCCTGGGATACTATTACACGTCTCTCTGGCTGCCGGTGCGCGAGGGAAAGGAGACGCAGATGTGATAGGAAAGTGAAGGCTGCAGTCTTGGCGCGCTTGGCAAGGGCCTTTTATTTCAGACATCATTTGCATTTTGCTGCAGTGATTTCGGAGGAGGCAAAGCAGACGCAGACTTGCCTTCAATTAAGACTGATAATTCACACGTTCTTAAGGACGCGAAGCAGACGCTAATTTGTGGTGTTTGCAAAGAAAAGAGGAAATACTCAGGCAGCACATGTCTTTTTCACTCTGCTGCTGTGGAGAGATGCAAAGCAGGGCCTGGGCGGTAGTCTGCGGTTATTAAATTCTGTCGCAGTGCCTGCGTTAGGCATTGCATTTTCCACCTGATGGATAGGGTATCACTAAATCGTGGCATTTTGTTGGTTTGCATTGCGTTTTTGTGTCTGCCTCATGGCATATAGTTTAGTCCAAGGCTGGTCTGATGATTCGACAACTGGAAGTAGTGACTTCTGTAATTATAGTAGTGTAATCGAGTGTTAAATCCATTTGGGGGCAGGAGCTTCGGTGGAAAAGATTATTAAGGACAGTGATGATGTGGGTTGGAGGAATGAAAACGATGACAAAGCAAAAACATTTCTACTGCCTTCAAACTAGGAGCAGAGCTCATTTATAATTCTTGTAGTTGCAGAATCTAAGGGCTAAAATAAGATTCATTGAGATCATCCTGCTGGGCACTGTCTTTTTGCAAATGGAGAAATAAAGATTTGAAGAGGTCAAGAATTAAATTCCCAAATTCACGGAGGCATAGGAATATAGACCCGCATTTCTAGTTTGACTCTCCTGTGTCGAAAAAGCACAAATTACGCGTTTTCAAACTTTTGATGTCAGTCTCCTTCATAGGCTTAACAAATTATTCAAGACCCGAGAGCTTTTGCTTTTGTGAGTATGTCTATCAATATTTATCTCACTAGAATGTAAAACTAAGAATAAAAATACTGATCCATTTAAAAATAGAAATTAAAAGTTTCCATGTTCACACAAATAACACTTTTTGTGAAAAAAAAAAGTGAGAAGGGCATAGTTTTATATTTTTTGAAAAATACTATCTAGCTTACAGTTGTAGGCTCGTATCTGCTTCTGCATTCAATCTGTTGACATAGATGAAGAAAATTTAACCTCTCACCTGAAAAGGGAGGACTTGGTAGAACACCTAAGAGTCTTAGGAACTCTCAGGAAGTGGTGTCCTGGTAAATATTTTGATAACCAGTTCACAAGGGAGGGAAGAAAAGCCCAATTTGTAGCATTCAACAGTAACCCTGGTGTAAATATTCTCAACATGGCTGATGCTCCAGAGCTGGGAAGAAACACACAGCAGCACAGCATCATGTAAGACTTCTACCATATAAATACAATGGCTATAGACAACCTCAAAAGCCTAGACATAGTGAAATGTAGTGAAGTATCTAGGAAATGATGGGTTTTGAGTATATATTACCTTTATTTTAGTATAATCTGTTTAATTGTAAGTTTTTATAATTTAACTTTTGGTAATGGTTATATTTAATGACTGGCTCATAAAATTTTTAAAAATTTGACTGTTAATGCTTTTGAGAAGATAAAAGCTGCTGTAGTACACTGCAGCTCCCAGGGGTCCTCAGACCATACTTTGAGAATGACGGTATCAAATTAATTTGACAAAAATTTATTAAGCACTTATTTTGTGTCGAGGTATAGATTGAAATCCAGAACTAAAATGAATAATGTCAAGGTTAGGGAAAAATAATTAGCAAATGCATTAATTAGGATAATTTTAAACCTATTATTAACTCAAGTAATTTAAGTATCTGACTTCTTTAATATTTCTCCCCCCGTCCCACAAATGATAGTGTGTTTGAATTTCCTCTAGGAGAGGTAGACGTTGCTATTTTCTATGTTGTGGTAGGGCTGTGGGCTAAGTCAGCATTTTCATCTGACAGCTGTGATCTGGATATAAGATTTCTCTAACGGTGAGATATTATCCTCTTTAGCAACAGAAGTGTGTAAACACCATGATTTACGAATTGGACTTTCTCTGCTCCAGACAGCAGATCTGTTTGGTCTTGGTATAGCCACAGAGTTTCCAGATTAAAGGAGCCATACTCAGGGTGAATGCATGAAATATGCACTGGCATTGTGGAAAATTAGTCGTTCAATGATTATTTATTGATCATCTGCTCTGTGCTAGAAGCCAGTGAGCTTACCTTGCTAAGTAGCCACTCAGTGCTTAAGGCCAACATTGATCCCGCGTACTTCCCTGAGCGTTGGCATCCGTGTGAGGTCAGTATTGCTCTGAGCACCATTAGCACCAAGTGTAGGAGGCACGGGGCCCCTTTCATTCTATTCCCCAGCTGTTCAGCTGTGTTACCTGTGAACAGACACGTGAACATATTCTTTAGTGACAGCTTGAGTCACATCTGTTTTGGTGGCTGCCTCGCAGCATTTCAAATGATTTGGTAATAAAGTATTTTTGTTGTTGGTTTGTTTTAAGTGTCATGTGTAAAGGAAAAGTAATTAAGTTACAAGAGAGATTTGGCAAGGGCCTCTCCAAAGGGCCTTGTTCTCTAAAGACTTGTGCCCTGTGCCTCTGCCAAGTGCTGGAATCGCCAGAATATGCTTGCACTTCAGATGCTGCAGTCTCTGCTAGCATGGGGCCTGCTTGGTGGAGCCGGGTCTCATTCATCAAGGCACAGCTCTGCAAGATCTGTGACCTAGTTGTCAGCTATGGGAAAATGTCAGCTGTGGTCAGAAAGTTAAAACCCTCAATTTAGCATGCGAGGCTCATTTCTTTCACATCTTTCCTCCTCATCTGGGGTTTTAGTAAAAAGAGAGCTGGGGATGAGGCAGAAGAAATGAAAACTGCTTCTCGTGATTTCCACGGCCTTGGTTCCGCACATGTTGCCCTAATGGGTATGGATGGAAGCTCCAGGGCTGCTTCTCAGCTGTATGAATAACTAAATGTGTGCCCCTGGGTGAGTCTGTGAGAAGCAGGACTAAATACTCTCTCAGGTTCCTGTAGTTCTAAAATCATTTCTTATCAAATAGCAGATGCTATGAAAGTTCAAAAAGGCTGGAAGTCTGTTGATGTGAAAGCCAGATATTGGTGTGACCAGACCACTTCAAAATCTTCACCTCAGAGGCAAGTTGGTGGAGTGACTGAATGAAGAGCATGAGCTTTGAAATTGGACAGAGCTGAATTTGAATCTCTCCTCAGCAGCCTACTAGACCTGTGACCCGAGGTACATAACTTCAAGTCGCTAAGACTCAGCTTCTTCATCTTTAAAATGGTAATCCATTTACACAATCAGATACTCATTGAGCATCTGGTACGTGCCAGTCACTCTCTAAGGCACAGCAGGTATCAATGATTAAGATAGATGTAGACCTCTTCTCACGGCTAACAATCTGATGGATGGAGATAAGCGGTAATTAAAAATATAGAATAGAATGCAAGCTGGTGATAAAGCTGGGCAAGTGGCAGCTTCTTAAATGTTAATTGCAATGTAGAATCTAAAATCTTATCAATGAACTTTTCATACACTGTAGGGGCACCAGCCTACCTGCCTTATCTTAACTATGTGTCCTCCTGGCCCTTTCTGGGCAGGATGCCAACCATCCCGTTCTGAGGGAACATCACGTTCTGAGGGAACACAGAGCCCTTCAATGTGAGCTGCTGATCCTTGCAATTCTGGCCATACAAGGACAGTCTCTCTTGGCAAGCACACGGTCTTTGTTCCCCTGCATATATAAGCAACCCCTCCCAGTTCATGGTAGCAGGTGCAGGTGCACGCCTCTGTCCGGTCACTCCTGGACATTCCCCATAAGTAAGATTCAATAAACCTTTATGTCTCGTATGCCATCTCCAGGTGTTTTCTTTGGTCTCTCTGCAACTTATACCACACAGCTCATGCAACTGGGCGTGAGGCCAGGCATACTCTGTTGCAATAAAAGCCATCAGTCTATCTTGCACTTTTAATGGATCTTTTATTCATTCATGATTTTGTAATATTATGCAATGGTCGTTTGGAAAATATTGGTTCACTAAGTTATGTACATCTTCTAAATATTGGCATATTTCTTTTAAACAATATAAAATATCACATTTGCTAATATTACCACTGTTCTCATCAGAAAAGTCTTAAGTTTTGGAAATCTTTCAAGCTCTTGGTGGCACATACAAATTTTCCAAAACTCTAATTTTTCCTGGAAAACTCAAATTTTATGACTGGCAACAAATATTGTCAATTGTTTTCCTTGAAGTGATAGACTCATTTTGTTTATTTTTAAGAAAATGTCTGCCAAATGCCCAGATTTCTCAGTTCCTTTGAATAGAAATGCTGTTCCATGAAGAAAAATTAGCGAATTCTGTTCTCAATTCAATCCTCCTAGCGCCTTTCTTCCAGATGGCCAGCATACTTCGATGTGCGGCTAAAATGCTTTATGTGTTCTTCCCATTTCATCACATAGAAGATTGAAAAGGTGTACACGCAAGCGTCAAGGTTTAATAAAATCAATAGGTTTTACTGCTTCATCAGGGATATTCTGAAGCAACTTTTTGGTTTTTGTTTCTGCATCCTGTGACTTCATGGCGCTGAAGAATACAATGACCTCTAGGACAGTGGGTACCAATGCCTTGATTCATGCCAAGGCACCAAGGATGATGTCTACCGTTGCTTTTACACGTTAGTTGCAGATGTCAACACAGTGAAAAAGGCCAATAACATCTTAGTATTATTATGAAAATGTTGTTGTCCTTATGGGCCCCCTAAATGGGTCTCAAAGGCCCCCACAGGGCTACAGAGCACACTTGTAGAACCACTGCTGTAAGGGAGAGAAATAAAGAGGGAGGGCTGGAGAGTGACTGGGAGGGGCAGGCAGCAACCTGAGCCCCGGAGTCAGGAAGAGCCTCTGTGAGATGGAGAGATGTAAACTGACACCTGAAGGATGAGAAGGAAGTCGCCAAACAAAGACTTGCAGGGGAAAGCGTTCAGATGGAGGAAACAGTCTGTGTAGGAAGCTCTGAGATGGGAATTCAAGGAATAGAAGGAAAGTCACATGGCTGGGACAGGGTGAGCGAAGGAAGATTGCAACAAGGATCAAGATGAGCTTGGTCAGTAAAAACAAATATAATACCTAAATCCCAGAATTGGTATTTAAATAATATAATGCTTATAAAGTGTTTAGCTCAATGTGTTTCCCTAGTTAATTAGGCGCTAATCAAGCACCGAATGTGTTCCTTATGTTTGTGGTGAAACTGATGTTCTCTATAGACTTTTATGAGTCGTCTTTTCTTACATAAAAATTCCAATCACTTGTTTATTGCTTCTATTTCTGCAGCAGCATAGAAACTTCCAGCCAGCCTCTCTGGGAAAATTATTTATGCCAAAGAAAATGCCAAAGATCCCAATAGCTATACACTACAAAGAATAAAAATGCTCTCCTTCAATCTTACCCTGTGTATTGCTGCCTTATCCTAGTAATGAAAACGCATCCTTGAAAAACGATTCCACTTCTCTATGTTAGAAATATAAAGAGAGATCTTTCCTTACCTTCTCAATCAGTTTTATAGGCATACTTTTCCCTTCACTTCTTTTTCCTACCTACAGACAAAGGTTCTGTTGAGAAAGCTCTCCTTGCTTATCTCACGTTTAGAACCTTTATGAAACCAGTGGGCTCAGTAAGAGATCTCATTAGTAATACAGACACTCCTCATTTTTTTGGTTGCTGTTAAGGCTCTGAGACAGTCTCTCATTTCTATCAGCAGTACATGCCATTTCTCAACAGTTATTTTTCATCTTCAGGGTATCAAAAGAGAAAATTGTATAGGGAGAAAAAAAAGCATAACTTCCTCATTCTTACATGCTTTTAAGAATCAGGAACTTAGCAGTTCCTTGATTAAATCTAAAAAGACAGGAAGCTCTCTAGTCTCCTTATTTATCTTTCTGGGCACTTACTGAAGTGATTCAGACCTTGGCCCTCCCACCAACTGGAAATCAATACACTGGCTAATGGAGTCCCCGTCTAAGTCACTTGAGTACTGAAAGAGTTGTTGGAGGGTGAGACACAAAACTTACCTCCTTGGAATTGTTGGTCTGAAGCTTTTGCTTAAAGTACTCAAAACCTTCAATTTCACAATAATTATTGTGGAATTTTGTGGGAGTGGGGAATTAAAAATAGTAAACTCTAGCCAGGTATGCTCCTGCCCGAAGCTATGGAACAGACAGTCTTGAAGAGATTGTTGTGACTTCATTCACTTGGGCCAAGTTGGACACACGGGTGCAAAGTCTCTGGAGCCTCTCCGGTTCCCTCTTGTCCAGAACTATGTACTTGTTTGATCTTTACTAAGAATCCCTCTAGTGTCGCCACACTACATGAAGCCAGCGCTACAAAAGTCGACTGTAGGAACAAAATAAAGTTCACACACTTTCTCAAAGAAAAAGGAAATGTTACATCAGAGCCCTCATTTATTCATTGATGAAATATTTATTGAGGGCCTACAATGTTCCATATGTTCCCACTCAGTGCTGGGGCACATAGCTCATGTCTAGTGGAGAAAGAAAGAAATGTACACAGTTAGTTACATTTCTTAGTTATTAGATATAGAATTTGCACAGAGAACTACAGGTGCTCATGAGAGGATCTACTTGCATGCATGGGTGTGTTAGTGTGTGTGTGTGTGTGTGTGTATGTGTGTGTTGCACAGGGCGTCAGTGGTGGTTGGGGAAGTTTTCTGGAAAATTTGATATCATCAGCCAAATTTTGAAAGGATGGATAGGAGTTACCGGTTCAGTAAGATAGAAAGAGTATTTATGGTAGAAGGGACAGCATTTGCAATGACAGATAGACATGTGAAAAGACGGCCTATTTGAAGAAGGTCAAGTAGCTTAGTCTGATGGGAGTTTAAGTTTCAGTGGGGAGGAAGGGGGAGAGATGAAGCTTGAGAGGTTTGCCTGATCATGAAGGTTGTAGGATGCTGTGCTAAGGGGTGATGGGTGGGCCATCAAAGAGCTATAAGCAGGGGAATGTCATGAAGTTTAGATCTGAGGTTAGACCTGATTTGGAAATATCACTTTTGCAAGGTGATGAATGGACTTAAAAGTGGCATAATGGATAATAATAGAAAATATTTGGCTAGCGTTCAGCATATGCCAGCATTACAACAATTTTATGTGTTGACCACTGTTATTATCCCCATATTACAGATGAAGAAATGGAGGAACAGAACAGTAAAGTAGCTTTCCCAGGTTCACTCAGATAATGAATGGCAAATAAGAATTCAAACCCATCAGACTAGCTGTCCACACCCCTACCTCTCTACTAGACTGCCTTTGAATAATCACTAACATTTATTGAGAGCTTTCAACATGCCAGGAAGTGTTCTAAACGTTTTACATGAATCAGCTAATATATACCTAAAACCACCTTATGAGGCAAGTGCTGTTATTATACTTGTTTTATAGATGACATCACTAGAAGGAGAGAGAATAAATGATTTATTCAATCTACCCAGTGAGTAAGTAACAGAGGTGGGATTCAAACAAGGCAGTCTGAAATAAGGACCTGATCTTTCCACCTTTGTGTTATGTGGATGTGGGTAGATCGTTTACGAGGGTGTTGAAATAATTCAGGCAGGAATGACGGTGGCCTGAACTAAGAGGGTGACAGTAGGGACACAGGATATAGACCCAAGGCATGGGAAGGAAAAGAATTTTATGGGATTTTAAGTGATTGTTGAAAGAACATTGGGGCATGAGAGGGAGAAATTAAGGATGATCTGGGTAATGGCTGCTTCATTTCTTAAAGTGGGAAATATAGGAGAAATATATTTTGCAAGAAAGTTTGTAAGTTTGGGTTTGAACATTTTCACTTTCAGGTGCCTATGGGACATTCAAGTGGAGATGGCCAATGATCAGTTGAGTTCTGAGGTAAGTCTAGGAATGGGCATTTGGGAACTATAAAAATAGGGGGAGGTAATCACTGATATGGACATCGGCATGATTTCCACAGAAGAACTGGGAAACAAGCCAAACATGGAACCATGAAAAACACCAACATTTAGAGCACTGTCTTTCACCCCAATTTTTAGCTGTGTAAATAGTTGTGCAACTGAAATTATATGAGGAAAATCAGTTTATAGGAGACATCAAAACAAAGCTGCTCTGGTTGCATGGTTCTGGTAGTGGTGGAGAAAGGGAGCTATGGGTGGGAGCTGGAGGCTGCAGGCAGGACTGGAGCAGTGTGGGCAGGGAGAGGTGCATGGTGAAGCCTATGGTTAGGGTTCGTATATTATCTACTGCTGCATAACATCATTCCAAAATGCAGCAGCTTAAAATGACCAACATTTATTATCTCGCCGTTTCTGAGTCAGGAGTCTGGTGAGGCGTAGCTCGTGCCTCTGGCTCAGGGTCTCTCGAGCTGCAGTCTAGTTGTTGGCTGTCACTGTGGTCTCGTCTGAAGGCTTGACTGACAGAGCATCCTCTTTCAAGCTCACTCAGATGGCTTTCGGCAGGTCTCTGTCCTTGTCACATGGGCCTCTCCGTATGTCAGCTGGTTCTCCAGGTTGAACAATTCAAGAGAGAAGTCTTTCAAGATGGAAGCTACAGTCTTTACACAGCCTGATCTCAGAGGGCCATCACACTGTGTCTGCAGTATTCTATTCATTGGAAGAGAGTCCACACTGGATTATACGAAGATATGATACCATGAGGCAGTGATCATTGAGACCATCTATAAGGCCACCTATCAAATCCTTATCCCCATGGCATCCCCTTATTAGGGGTTCATAATGCCCCGTTTGATAATCACTGATTTAAATTATGAGCAGAAAAATCAGTGCTCAAGAAAGAAACTGGGACACAAGAAACTATGGAGGTAAGAAGGAACCCGGGGGTAGGGGGTCGGGGATGATATCCTCCAAACCACCAAAACAGTGGGTTTCAAGAAGGATGGAGAGGTCATCAGTGTCAAATACTATACTGATATTAGAAGCTCAGATGAATCATTGATAGAATGATACAATGACACAATGACATGTCGTTGATAATGTAGGCAGGGGCAATTGAGTACCTTCTTGGAGTGGAAGGCAGATTGCTGTGGATAGAAGAGTGAGTTAAGGAGCACAAATAGTGAGAAGAGATGAAAAAATCTATTGTGAAGGAAGGAGAGTGTGTTCTTAATAGAGGCGATCTATGCTTAAAGGAGATTTTTTTTTTTTAAACGGAGTTGCAACATATGAAACCCTTTCTGATGATTGTGTGGCTCTGTAGTATCAAACATAATGGGAAATAAAGCAGTTTGGGACATGACACCTCATCGCTTCATCCTAGTGACCAAGGTCTCTGCATTCACCTGCCGGGGTTGCAGAGGAGCCGAGCATAGAGCCTATGCCATAGACCGCATGGAGATAACGATTTGCCTAGCAAGTCCAAAGAGCCCTGCAGAAGGATGGTTTCTATCATTTAATCTCCCCCTCTGATAAGTTATTGCAGTGCCCTGAGGCATTATCTTGCTGCGCTGTAGCACAGGGTTTATTCTGTATATTTGGATCTTTTACGTGAGTCTCAACTGTTAAGGAGGTGATGCTCATCCTAATGCACTAGATGTAACTCAGATTCTGAAGAAAGTGCTAGGAAGCACATTTCTTTGAATTTGCTTCCAACCATGTTTGTTTACCCCATTCTCTATCTCCTGCCCTAATGAGACTTCTTCTCCTGAGTTCTCTTGGTTAAAGCGAGTACCGCGATATATCTTAGAGAGGCAGTTCCGGTGCAGTGGTTCAAGTCACAGGTTTTGGAGTTAGACCACCTGGCTTCACTTTCCAGCTCTCACGTTCATTAGCTGTGCAACCTTGGGCAAAGTACTGAACCTCTCTGTCTCAGTTTTATTACTTGCAAAATGGTAAACATTTTGCCACCTGCAAAATGGTCAAATCTTTCTCATGAGGGTCGTTATGAGCAGTTATGAAGTACTAGCAGTTAGAAAAGTGCCCAGGGAGAAAAGAAGGTGAGATGACAATACAGTTTTTTACTTAGGGATGAGCCACTTTGTAAGGTTTAGACAACCCAGGAGACAGGAAAGGGGCTCCAATCAGATTTTGTTCCGTGGGAGGCAGACTATGACGCTTAGTCATTGCGTGGTTGCAGCCATTAGACAAGCAGCCCCTTTGCTGAGTCTGGACATCCTCTTTCTGGAGGAGTGGGGCTATGCAAATGAACAGCAGGTAAAGGAAGGTTCTGGGCTTCCAGGTTTGGTCTACTACTGCCTTCTGCATTCTAGTTGGTGCCTTCCTCTGTATTCTGATCCTCCTAAGAAGCTGTCACAGCAGCTTCAAAGTCGTTTTCCCAAGTCCTGTTTATCCTGGTTTCTCTTCCTGTTTTGTGGGAGCAGCTCTCAGGCTAGTACGCCTGTGACTTGTCTTTGCTGAGGCAGAGACAGCTTTGCTGAGCTGAGCTGCTCCTGCTTCTGCAGCTGAGCACGAGAGGCTGTGGGGCTCTCTGTGCTCCATGAGGGTAAGCAACACAGCAGAAGGCTTCCTGCAGAGGCTCTTGGACTGAAAAATCGGAGATTTGTCTGCTCCAGCCATTGTGTCTGGAATCCTCAAGGCAGTAATAGGAATTCATGCTCCCCACCTGTGTCTACCAATATACTCCCTGGGGCATGACTCAAAATTATTCACATGCCAGTGTTCAGGCCCAGACCAAAATGTCTTAAAATTATTTATGTTCCAATTACGCTTCATTACTTTTTAACTAAAGATCTCATTTCACTCCAGTGAAGAACCCAATACAATTTGGCTAATTTCAAAGCTGCCACAGAGAACTTGCATTTGGGGGCCATATTTCCAGAAAGACACAGTGTACCCTTTAGAATCTTCCCCAATTTGTGAGATACAGTGCTTTGGTGAAACTCAGAGATCAAATATGGAGTTGCTACAAAAGGTGGTTTTTAAAAAAAAATTTCATAGAGCGTTTCTGGCGATATCTATACGGCAGTTTGCTTTTTTGCTTGTGGATATTTTTCAAACAGCTTTTACTCCTTCTCTCCAATACTGTGATTAAATCCAAATGATGTTCCAGTAGGTCTTCACTGCCACAACTTCAAAGCCAGCGCTCTATGGCTGTGATTGCGTTAGGGAGGAGGATCTCCCGGGCCTCTAGCACCAGTCAAAATAAATTGTTCCAAAAGAGAGAGGTGTCCTCAGTGGCTTAACAGCAGTGAATCAGATATTTTCCCCCTCATTCCAGGCTGAAATCTCATTTTTGGTCAAAGCTTTCCCCAGGAAAATGAGTGTAATATGTCCTTGAGTTTCTCACCGCCAGGTTTTCAGCAAGAGAACTGATTGTTTTTTGCAGAGGATTGTAGAGTATTGGTTCAGAAGATCCAGCTGAGAGATTTTTCCCCCAAAACTCTGGCTTTTGTCTTTGTTGGAAAATCTTTTAAGCTTTTCTTATGATTGTTTCGTTGTTTTAATTCTCTGTGGGCAAAAGGTAAGTCCGTATTGATTTTACTTTGCGTGGTAAGGTGGGATGGGTGCGTCCCCTGGCCTAGCTCTTTAAAGACTCATGTGAAAGGTCTGAATATTAGCAAACACTTGGTTCACCTGTGAAGTTACTCCGGGTTGCCGAGTCCAGGACACGGACATCAGGCCTCAGCTTCCGTGTCTGCCGCTAACTGACTACATCACTGAGTGTGACCTTGGAGAAGACCTTCATTCCTCAGGGCTTTTTCTGACTATTTTGTAAACTGTAAAAGTGCCTTCCCTAATTGATCTGTGGAACAGCCATCTTTGACATGGTGGCAAGTGTTCTGCACGACACAAAGAATCTAAAACAAACAAAGCAAAATCTTCCGCGATCAACTAGGTGGGAGAAATGCTTCCTAATGTATTCCTCTCTGGAAGATTCATGTTTCCTATTAGCATTTTATAGCCTTGAAAGTGTATGCAGTAAAGAAACCTGTATAAATCTGTGTTAACTGACCATTGTATCAGTCAGTGTACACTGTGATAGAAAACACATCCAAATCTCATTGACTCAGAGTAAGAAAGTTCTCTCTCTCACTCTCTGTCATAACATGTGCAAACATGGCTTGATGGCAGAAGGGCTCTTTTCTTCATAGTCACTCAAGGATACTGGCTGATAGAGAGACAGTACCATGAAAATTGCAGGTCATTTTGCTAGAAAGAAATGAGAAAGTTTAGGAGGGTCTCAAACCAGTCATTGAATGTTACAGCCAAAAAGGAGTGAATATAATTTCCACTCACAATTCATTGGTCAGAATTAGACATGACCCTGGTCAATTACAAGAAAGTTGGGACATGCCCAGAGGAGAGGAAAACTGGTTGGTGGTGAGCAGAACTAATGACTACCATGACTTTGGAACCCATTCTTATTGTAAAAGCTATAACTAACCTGTAGAATTACATTCTGGAAAATTCTGTAGTGGACAAGTTTTCTAAGAGCCCTTCCAACTCTGAAAGTCTATAATTCTATGACCTAGTCACAGAAAATCTTTCCCCTTACTAGTTAGGATGTGTGCTTCTCTGGGAGAAAACACCTTATTTCTTTTTCTTTTTATTGTGGTAGAATACATATAACCCAAAAGGAAACACCTTATTTTATAAGCTAAAGCTTTAAGAGATGAACATTTTAATTGACTACAGGACCTTTTAGGATAGCTGTTTCATATCAAAGCACAAATCCACACCAATCACTGAACAAAAAGAGACCACTTACATTTTGAGTCCAATTGTAAACCCTCAGATGAAGAGAGAAAATGGGATTTGCCTGTGACTGAATCCTGTTGAAAACTAGAATCTAGATAGTTATCTCTTAGAGGGAATTCAGGGCAAATTTGTGAGCCCTTTCCTTGGAGGCCCCTTTTTATCTCCTTTCTGCCTCCTGTTAAGGTCCCAAAGATGAGAGGG